TTACTCAGGTGTTTATTCTCTTCAATGTGCACACTTTCTTACCTCTGGAGTTGTTTTCCCCTTTGTTCGCTTCCCTGCTCCATATCTTTGCATCTTTTGCGAACATCTAAAAGATTTTTTTTGGCTTTAGTTTCCCCTCATTTTTGTGGAATAAAATGTCGTCTCGTATTTGGAAAATCAGTTTGTAGCTTTAACATTAGAAAATTGCTATGTGATTTTTGTTTTCAAAATTAGTTTCTATTGTAACCATAGTAGAAGATAACCATGATTTTAAATTGGATGCTTATGCTGGATGCTTGTGTGAGCTTGAAAATAGGTGAAAAAACTTGTAAATAGAACAAGATCTATATTACTTGATAAGTATAAAATTGGCATAAGTATTTCAATAAGTTATATGTATTATTTTGATCATACATTTTTGTCTTATGAAAATCGTTTGAGTGTTCTGAAAACAAAATATATGTATGTGCTTTTGTTTCAGTTACTTTTTATGCAAAATTTTGACAGGTGAGTTGTGATGTAACTTGAAAGTTTTAAGAGTTATGCAAGAAGTTAAATATATGGAAAGAGTTGGAGAAATGCGAGGCACTGAGAATATACAAAATAATTGTAAGTTTAGGAAATGTTTATACAAGATTAGGTGTGTGATTTTGTATGTTTCTTGAAGTATGCAAAATAACTGTATTGAGCATGTTTAGGAAATTGTTGTAACTTGAAGTATGTTTATGTTTTGAGGATGTTTCTTCTGTTTATATTGAGTGGTAGCGAGTGAGTTTAAGGAATTATGATATATGAAGCTTAAACTCTAAGTATTTGTGTTCGTTGCTTATTTATGTCTATGTTTGGTTGCTTAGTTGTGTTTATTTGTGGCTTTGATTATTTGCTCAGTTATGGAGCAAGACACTCCAATTACCAATAAACATTCTCCAACGTCACCTAATGTACCAACATCCACAACACCTAATGTACCAACGACCACACCAACTATTGAACCAACCACAAATGTTTCGCCTATTCTTAAGAAAAGAAGACCTAATGTTAATGGTAATAGAAAAAGATCTGAGGTTTGGGACCACTTTAACTTTATTTCTAATAGTGACCCCCCTACTACTTCCTGTAAATACTTCCATCAAATGTACATGTGTGACTCTAAGAAACATGGAACTTCAAACTTAAAGAGTCACACAAAAACATGCCCTAAGTATCCGTTGAACTTGTCAACTGACCCTACCCAATTAATCTTGACATTTTCAACAACTTAGGGAGTTGGGCTGGTTCCAGCAAGTTATATGATCCTGTAGGTTGTAGAAATGGGTTAGCTTATTTTATCATTTTGAATGAGAAACCCTTTTCTATGGTTGAAGGAGGGGGGTTTAAGTACTTTTGTAAGCAAAGGCAGCCCCAATTTTCTACATCGTCAAGGGGAACCATAACTAGGGACTATTTTCAATTATATCTTGATGAAAAAGTGAGATTGAGGGTATTCTTTATGTCTGATTCTAGTAGGGTGGTAATAAAAACAAATTGTTGGACATCTTTCCAAAATCTATACTACTTGACCCTAACTGCCCATTTTATTGATAGAGATTGAAATTACAAAAAAAAAGATTATTAGCTTTACCGTTATTCCAAATCACTGTGGTAGAACGACTGGTAAGAAGGTTGAGGATGTATTGAAGGAGTGGGGGCTGAGAAATATTTCTACCATTACGGTAGATAATGCAGCATTAAATGATGTTGCTGTTAAATATTTAGAGCATAAAGTAAGAAACATGAATGGATTTTGAACGGATGGGTTTGAGTTTCACATAAGGTGTTGTGCTCATATACTAAATTTGGTTGTTAAACATGGATTAAAAGTAGCCATCACCTCAATTTCAAGTGTTAGAAATGGTATTAGGTTTGTGAGATCTTCACCGCATAGAGCTTTAAAGTTCAAGGAATGTGTGGAATATGTCGGGATTACATGTAAGAAGTCAGTATGTCTTGATGTTTCAACTAGAAGGAACTCGACATATTTGATGTTAGATGCGACTGAGAAATTTCAAACTGCTTTTGATAGGCTAGAAGATAGGGATGAAGACTATAGGGATTTCTTTGACGGTGATTCCCCATAGTAGTCAAGATTGGGATAATGTTAGAATTTTTATTAATTTTTTGAAGAAATATTATGAAGCGACAAAGGTTTTTTTTCTGTTTCAACAAAATCAAATTTGCATACTGCTTTTCCATTCTTGATTTAAATTTACATTGAACTTAAGAAATTAAACATGGACCTTAACGAATTGTTTGCAAATGTGGCACCAGACATGTTGGAAAAGTTTTGTAAATACTGGGTTGATATCACTAAGATGAACCACCTCCTTTATTTTGGTATTATTTTTTTATCCCTGGTATAAGTTAAGATACGTGGAATGGTGTTTTGATAATATGTACGAAAAAGATTCAGACACTAAAAAACTGTACTATAAGATATCAATAACAATCTTTCACACTATTGAGCACGAGGAGGTGATATGTTGGTGTTAATTATGCATTATAACTGTTAATAGTTTTACCATTCTGCATGTACTAACTTTTAGTTTAATCATGCTAGTTTTTGGAAGTCATTAAGTTGGACGGAGTTTCCCATACTCCTGAAGACGCAGTGATGCCTAGAGAATTATTTTTGTTGCAAGTAAGTTATTTCCTCTCTCATTGTTTGCTCTAGGCTTAACCCTTTTTTAGATCTGCTTACCTGGTTTCCTTGTTATTTTGTATGCTACTCATAACACTTGCATAGTTATATTATCATATTTGGTATATGTTATAAGGTTCACATTTCCTAGCCTTGTAATTATGGTGTCTATATGTTTTGAACTAATTTAAGATTTAAGTCGTTATATATGACTATAATGTTGGGAAACTGGGAACCGTATAAGAAAATTTAGGTGCATTCTTCTGGTCCTGTTGATGTGATGTTGATTTATGTTGTATGAATATGATTATTACAAAGGACAGTTTCCTTATGTTATCACTATCTTGGTTTCATTTTACCTTGAAAAACAATATTCTAGTTGTTGTTTCGACGTGCTTGGTTCTAGGATAAAGTAATAGGTTTTGAACGAAAAAGTGAGTTGAAAAATCATTTATGGTTGAATAGATTCATGTAAAAGTTCATACATTTATTCTCTAATGTCTAGACAAATTTGTATTTGCATGTGATCTTGCTTTGAAACTAATGATATTTTGAATATATGGACTTGCATTCACAGAAAATGATGATGGTAGAAACCCCTCAATGAGAGGTTCTTCAAGGTTCTTCAATGTTATTTATTGGTTTCACAATGGTGCTTTGGTTGTGTTATTACATGTAATTTATATTGAAAGGATTAATTTAAACTTAGATTTTATATGGTCCTTGGAAAGGTTAATTTTAATTTTAGTTAAACAATTTGGTTGTATTAATGTTATTAAATTTGTTTTAGTTTTTAGAAAAATATGAGTTCTAATAGTAATTTTAAATATATTCTAACAATTTAAATTGTAAAGTTTTAGAAGCCCAATATATGGCTCATTTCTTAATAAACAAAAAAAAAAGACTTAAAATGTATTTAGGCTATTTTTAAAATATTGTTATCCTTGGTCCAAATAAAAAAATGTATTAATTTTTATTGGGTCCAAATCTATAAAATTCAAAAATAACTGACTTAACAATTTGAAGCCGAATACAACCGAACCCAAAAACTTGAAATTACAACCCGGTCAAAAACAGATTAGAATATTCTACCTGATGAATTAGTCGATTTGGAATTTTGTGCCCGAATCGGTCCGATCAGCTGCCCAACCCTAAATGTAATATATATCATTTCAATAATATTCTCATTAAAATAAGGGTAATGCTAATTTGTGCCTTTGGAGTACAAGTTAAGAAAACCACTTATAGTAAATTTGCATTGGAAAAAACGATTTAAAAATTAATTTTATATTTTAATTAAAGTTTGTACACAATTTCCAAGACAATATTTCTTAATTTAGTTCTTAACTTGTACCCCAAGGGCACAAGTTAACATTACCCTTAAAATAATTCACTTTAATTATTCAATTGATGATTTTTTAAGCATGTATTTGGTTTTCCTATAAAAAATGTATAATAAATACAATTATTAAAATCTAATAACATAATGCCAATTCTTAAAATAAAAAAAATAAAGTATATATTAATTTGCTAAGCGTACAAATTTACACACACAACATTGTTCCGTGTGGTTTTTAATAATATTAGATCTTTTTATAAATAATAATAAAAAAAAGAATAGTATTGTATTAAAGATTTTGTTTGTGATCTATCATATTTAAAGATAACAATTATGTTGCGCTAAATATGGAATAATTAACAGAAATAAGATGTCAATTATGTTATTGACTATGTTATAATTTAAAATATATTTTTTACTTTGAGTTGATTAATTGATTTTACAAAAATTGTCCGGTTAATTAATTAAATAATCTTTAGGAATTTTTTTAGGGTTCAAAATTGATTTTTTAAATAAAAATCTTTACGGTTGATAAACATATATATAAAATCTAGATTTAAATACTCACAAAACATATCGTAAATTATCTTCTTGAATTTGAATCCTCTCCTTTTTTATATATTATGCTATCTCTTATATTTCTAATCTAACGGTTTAAAATTTTATAATAAATAATTAAATGACAAAGATAAAAATAACAAAGACAAATTACTTATTCATTTCTTTCTCCTATTAAATGATTTTTTTTATTTAATTATTCATTATAAATTCTGAACCGTTAGATTAAAACATGAAAGATGACATAATATATAAAAAAGGAGAGGATCCAAATCTCCCTAAAAAACAATCTAAAAAACAAACTCTGGAATTACTCCACCTAGGGTTCCACATCTATAAATAGGGTTGCACCAATTTGAAAAAAAGAGCACACAAAAAATCAAAAGAGATAAAGAAGTTAAGCTTTTAAAAGAAAGAAAAATAATCATGTCTCCTTCCTTGTCTACAGCATCACCATGTTCAGAAGCAACTCTTTATTATTATGGATTGAGTGCAGAATATCAAGATCAATATGAATATCTTGGAAGCATGAAGAAGTATAATCTAGAGATGCAATGTCCGAAACTAAAGCCCAATGATGTGTTAAATTTTCATATCAATGTTGTTTCTCATTCGGTTGATTCTAATTCGGTTCCACGCCTTAACACATTACTCCACAATTTTCAACATGTGAGTTGCAAGAGGTTTTTCCAACAAGGTGAGGATTGGATTCAATCTATCTTGTTTCATCCAGATTTCTCATGTGAATCACTTGAAGGACTAACAAAGAGGATCGTGCATGAAGTTCATGAACTGTTCGATTTCGATCAAGTGGCTGATGGAGTTGGAGCTTCTGTTTCTCATCGATTCACTCTGTATCTCAGAATTGTTCTTCAGAAATAATTAGATATATAGTTGGTATTATTTCCGGATTAAAATATAGGATTGTTTATTTTTTGAATGCAAATTTTTAGTTAATATTAATATGTTGGACCTGTTTGATAATATTAAATTTCATTAATTTATGATAAATATATTTTACACAATTAAAATAGAGTTGCTTGATAATGATATTATTTTATTAATTTCTCAGGTGAAATATTCGGCATTATTGGTTGATCTTTGTGCATCAAGTTTTTGCATTATATTGGTTGATCTTTGTTTTTGTTTGTGGGGGAGAGTATTCCTTATACTCTAATTAATATATAATATTCTTTGCAAATGCATTGTATTTGATTTTGATTTTGTTAATAAATTTGAAATTATGATTTTCTTCGATTTACTTTGCAATTTAGAATTGTCGTCGGCAAGGTTGTTAAAATCGAGTTTTTATTTTAATTCGTTTTGATTAGGTAAAATTGACAGTAAAATTGTAGAATTTATTTAATATTAAATATAAATTTTAAATAATAAAAATAATCAAATTTAAATAAAAAATTTTAACTAAAAAAGTAACACATTAAAGTAAATTTGTCAAAAATATACACAATAAATCAAAACTTCTATTAAATTGATATATTAAAATAATAAAAATAACAAATCACTATAAGAATCACTTAAATTGTAAACTATAGTAATGTTCAAAGATACAAAATAACAAAATTAGAAATACGGTAACAAACCAAGGTTACATATAATCACATAATAACGTAGTACCATATAATTTCTCTATTTTTTATTTGTGATGATGACTCATTTTTTAGATACTTACCGATCAAAAAATAAAACTCACAGAATGTGTTGTGTTGTTGAACTTCTAGTCCGACGGCGTACAAGTGAAGTGACGTTAGGGTTTAAAAGTTTTTAATTTTATTGCTCGGGTAAATAAAAAATCTAATATCTAATAAAAAAAAGAATTATTTAAAGTGAATAAAATAATAAAGCGGGAGAAATTTTATTGGGCTGAGTTTTTTAAAACTTTAAGAAAAAAGATAAAATCAAGTCAAAGAGTAAAATTCAAAGGTTTTACATGATTTTATAGATTTTAGAGAAATTTAAATCGAGTAAAATCGTTCTAATATATAATTTTATTTAAAAACAATTCTACCAGCAATTTAGCACCAAATATCAATTGAAAAATGTAAAATCTAAAAATTTAAATTTTAAATAGCTATTTTAACAACCTTGGTCGTTGAGATATAGTTAGAATATAGAATGTTTACTTTTTATTTTATTTTATTTATTTATTTTTATTTTTAAAATTTTGTTAAGTAACTTTTTTTAAAGAAAAATTCTTAGCAATTTATTTGAACCTTCTGAAACATTTTTTATTTATGAAAAGTTATATTTAAGATACTATTTAAATTAATTATTTTATCAATAATAATAATAATAATAATAATAATAATAATAATAATAATAATAATAATAATAATAATAATAATAATAATAATAATAATAATAATAATAATAATGAGATTACACATTAATTATATAAATTAATTTTATACTGTCAACTAATAACAATGATGTAATTTATTATTTTTTATATTGTCAAATGTATCTCTATTATCTTTTTAATAATAAATAATAATAATGCAAGAAATATGGAATAATTAGCATAAATAAAACAAGGATTGGGTTATAATTTTATGGAATTGCTTACCTTTACTTACATAAAATACTTTTTTATAATAATAAAAATTCTCACTAATTTATTTCAATAACACTTGGTTAAAGTTTTAAAAACCAGTTTAAACAAATTGACGAATACGGAACATAAAACGACAATTTGCCAGTATTTTCAAACCAATTGGTCACTGCTTATTTATTTATTTTAACACCAACTTTTATACTTTTTAATACAATATGAAAAGTTATATAGGAGAAGTTGAGCTCCTGTACGGAAAAATCAGTTTAAAACACCGTTATTTATCACAATTTAATTTGTGATATTTGCAAATTTGAAAATCGTTTATGGTTGAGTTTAACGTTTAAGGTATCTCACCTTCCACTACCACTAGAAGAAATAAAATAGACTGTCTGTCCCGTTCTATTCTGCTTTAAGTTTATTAAAAAAAAAACGGAGTAGACAAGTCAGCCAAGTAAAATTGAGCTTCAAATTAAAAATGACTACAATGCATTCTCGAAAGATACATGAACAGTGGAAAAATTGTCTTCGCAAACTCCTTAGTTAAGGCAAGGTTTTCAAGACGCATCTGTTATCCTCGATCTTCTTCCTACCTTCTCAAGCCTCTTTCAAGGATGCATCTAGCTCCCTTACCGTCTTATGAAAAAAAACAATGATTTGTTTGCATCAACAAGAGTAGCCTCTTCCTTGGTTAGTGTTGTATCTGCAAAGACTAGAGTTTCGTACTTCTTTTTCATTGCCTTTGCAAGTGAATACACATTCTCAGTAAATTTATCTGGATTTTTGAAAGCTCCTACGACAACCCCAATCCCCAAAAGCAAGATAGCAACCCACTCGTTAGAGCTTTTTCAATTATTGGTCTTGTTCAACTGGGAGAGAATTGACGTGTTCTTAGAGATATTTCTTTTGAAGGTGCGAGAAAACACAAGAAAGAGGGGTTTGAATTGGGTTTTAAAAAATGAAAGCTTTTCGTGAAACTCAAACAAAGATTACAAATAAACTAATCAAGAGAGAAAGACACACGATATATTCTGGTTCACATGAAAACTATCAAGCTAATCCACTTCACCCTCCAATGTGATTTCACCTTATACACAAGGACTTAATCCACTATAATCAACTGATTACACTGCACTAGCAACCACCGGTGACAAACAACACATGCAACTGTCTCTTCTTAAGGATTCTGACTCAACTGGTCCCTTAAGAAATTACAATATGCACTAGTAACCTCTGGTGACTAACAACAAAGACTAACTATCTCTTCTTAAGGATTCTGACCTAACTGGTCCCTTAAAGAGTTATAAACAACAGTTTGAACAAAAATGTTTACAATGAATTGCTTCTACACAAGAAGATATAAACACCATTAATAGCTCTAATGACTTAAAGAAACTTTCACATTATGAACAATGTTCTTTCTTTGTATTGGGGTGCTTCAATACAGTAGCTTTAGTTCTTCATAGATCATTCATACTTCTTTGATAATAATTTTTTGTTGTATGAATCGTTATGTCAATCTCTTGTATCTCGCACTTTTTCTTCAAGTCATCAAGTCCTTATATAGCAAGAAAACGATCCGTTGGAGGGTAGATCAGAAATATCCTTTTAGATAGCCGACGAATTGAAATGATTTCGGTACGCAAAGATGAAAATCCTACACAAAATTTTTCCTTTGTACCACCAAATCAGGGTAGTGGAATGGAATGCTGAAACGTACTATGTACTATTTTCCACTGTAAACATTTGAACGTATCTTCTGTATATCAGAGGCTTCTAAATAGAAATGATTGAAGCATGAGTAGAAGAGTTGATCACTGGGTCTTCAGAGTCTTGAGTCTTCAGAACTTGTTCACCAGAACCTTGTCTTCAGAACTTTAAGCACTCAGTCTTCAGAACCCTTGGTCTTTAGTAACTAAAATCTTCAAAGTCTCCAGAACGTCGTTCAACAGAACTTTGTCATCATAGTCTTCAACACTTAATCTTCAGAAACTCAAGTCTTCATAACTTTGTTCAGCAGAACCTTATTTTCAGAGTTTTCATCACTTAGTCTTCCGAAGATAATGACGCCAGAAGCTACAAAACCTTCAGAAGTTAACATCAGAGTCACGCTTAGAGGCAGAAACCAAGAGAACATTGCAGCAACAACATATTTTCTTCTCAGAATCTTTTTGAATGTGAATAGACTAGAATCATACTTGCTTCTTATAGTGCAAAAGCGACTTTGTCAGATCAGAGTAACATTACACATGGTTAGAATACCAAAATTGTTCTCACATACTACTTTATTATTATCAAAACTTAGAGATATCTGGCAGAACCAAATCTTGTTCTAATAATCTCCCCCTTTTTGATAATGACAAAACCATGTGTTTTGATGACATAATTTTTTACGAAGACAATCAATAGGAAATGATAGAGATAAGTTTAGAAATAAGTCTCCTTTATCAAGCTCCCCCTGAATCTAAGACTTAAAAAAATCTTATCTGATTTGGGATGCCAGAGCCTAATTATAAAGATCTTATCAAATTCAGAATAACAGAGCCTGATTATATGCCAAAGCCTGATTGGCTTATAAAATCTTGTTAGATTTAGAATAACAGCGCCTAATTATATACCAGAGCTTGATTCGTTAATTCATAACCTGATTGCCAATATACCAATTTGTTCCTGAAAAACATTCTAAGAAAAATTGTGCATAATTAAAAGTGTTAAAATTTCAGAGCTATGATTCAGAGACAAGGTATTCTTATCAAAATAATTTTTCATTAATGTACTCCCCCTTTTTGTCATAATAAAAAAGGTAAATAATAGCTAGATTAAACAATTTGACTATTGGATTTGATTCAAGAGAAAATTAAAATAAATACTTTTCCCCCTTTTGTTAGCAATCATAAAAGAATGCAATAAGATGTAATATAAGCAATAAAAGATAAATTTCTCATTGATTAATAAAAAAACGCCAGAGGCGCAGGTACAAGAGCAAAAAATAGAACAACGTCAAACAAGTGACAAACAAACAAACAAAATAACCAATAAGAAGGAAAACAACAAAGACACACGCCCACCAACTATCAAAAGTCTTCAACCTCATCAATCCTCTCACATCTTTCTTCAACTATAGCATTTTCTGGTCCAAGTATTCTGGCTAAATCAATAATTTCAGCTCTAAAAAACAACTCAGACATAATTCTACCATAGGGAATGAAAGGCCTATGTTGATTTCTGGAGATTTTATCACAGTACTTCAGATGATTGAAGATAGTTTGAGGTAGGTTGAACCAGACATTGTACATCATGGAGTAGATAAAAA